AAGTAAATTTCCTTTTTTATGTCAATGCACTGTTTTATTATTGTTGTATATAATACTTGCAATACCTTTGAATCAACTTACAATACATTACACCTACTGAATACACTGACTAGCTTGTAGTATCTTTAGAATAAAGAGCTTTTAGAATGTAAAAAACCTATGGGGGAAAACCCCACCCCCACAAAAGCAGGATGGTAGTGATCTCACACAGCTCTGACAGTGTGTGCACACATGTGTAGCCATTCATCCACATTTGAACAGAGTGGACAGTGAAATTGCTGTAAATACAGACTGATAAGGAAGAAAATAAAAAATCAAACCTGCTTTAAAACCCAGCAACACAACTGTAGCTGTATAACTTTACAACAGCAACACTGCTTTAACAGAAATGTAGTGGAGTGAAAAGTACAATATTTGTCTTTCAAATGTAGTGAAGTTAAAGTCATAAGTTTCCAGAAAAAATATTACTCAAGTAAAGTAAAGATACTCAAAGTAAATGTACTTACTGTCCGCCTCTGGTTACCAGTAACTATTCAACTATTCCTAATAGCCACTTGCTTCTAAAAACAGAAACCTAATCATTTAACAAAACACTAATATCGAATGAACAAGTACTAGTAATTAAATGAATATTACTACTGGAGTAAATATTAGTCTCTAGTCTAATTCGTCACAATAATTAGTTACTACTGAAATTGAAAAAGATACTAATCACTATTGGATAACGTAACTGAAAAATAAATATTAGTTTTAAGCAATAAATGTCAAAAACCTGTCAAATGACACGACAAAGCAAATGCATTGTCTATCTAATCCACTAGATGGCGGACAAACACTTTTGAGCCCAGTCGTGATGTAGCCTACTTCAGTGATCACAGATATCTTATCTTGCATTCCGTCAAGAGTCTGAAGGTTATGCAGTTATACAGAGGGTGTGACCTCAGTTGTGATGAACACCATGTAGCCTACAAAAAGCTGCTCCTTCACTTGTTCTCACCTGTAGATCTGGGGTCTCGCATACCCGCTGGGATGCTGACAGGTGTTGTTGCGCATATTGTGTCCTCACAGAGCAGACAGTGATATTTAAGCCAGCAAGAATAACATGTTCTCACCCTCTCATGCAAAAAACAATTCATGATGTCTACAAAGATTTAGCTCTTCCACAAATTCAGTAGGCCTATGGTTTTAATTTTAATGGTTTATGTCCAGTCATCCGTTCTGACAGCACTCACACATTTATCTATTATGACAAAGACTTTGACTTTCCAACTACTGAGCTAATGTTTTTTTCTATCCTCCAATCCTAAATCATTAATTTTTACATTTTTATTAAGACAGTTTACTGTGTTTGTGGGGAACATCTGGTATCTAAAATGTTTTACTGTCCAAGGATCATTCGGACCTAAAACCTAAATGTTTACACTAATGCAGTTAGGGATTTTTTTTGGGATATTTCCCAAACCCAAACCTAACAGAAATCTTAATTTGGATTTTAATATAATTATTTAGTATCATAAAGCCATTTTCAGACCACTGACTGCTGGGCTGGCGATAAAGTTGAAATAAAAATAAATGGAGAAAAAAAACTCCCCAAAAAAGTTAGAAATGGTAAAAATTCAAATCAATTAAGTTTAAGCTATAGCACTAAAATTAAAACAACTGAAATAAAAAGCTAAATACACATAATTTACTAAAATATTTAATCAATTATTACAATTTAAACTGAATTTAAATTAAAACAGAAAATATAAAAATAAAAGTTAAATAAAAATATAAATACGATAATTGTATAAATAATTCTTAACACTGAGCTGATCTTAAAATCAATCTATTTTTCATACTGTATGTTAAATTAACTCACACCATTTTCTTTTTTATATTTATATATTTTAATTGAAGAAATAACTAATTTTAATATCGGACTACATCATTCAAGATGAGATCATTTGGACCCCACAATGTATGTAAAACCCAAACACAAGTCAGTGATATTTTCTATTTCCTAAACCTAATCTAGCAGAATCCTTCATTTAGATTTTCATTACATCATTATTTAGTATGCTCATATAATACTAAATTATTTTCCTTATTTTCATTATTTTCCTTATGAAGACCACTGGCTGCTGCCCAACTCCCACACACACACACACACACACACACACACACTGAATACTAAGCAGGACCTTTCTGTAAATTCAATATGTCACATTTATTGGAAAAGGAAGGTTGTGACCCTCTAACAGCACTCTTTAATTTTTATTGCATTATGAAGGAGCTCTGTCTCCCGTCTCACTTGCCTCCAGTGCCACATTTAGCCAGCACACCTAAGCATGACGAATCCACACCTGGTGAAAACACTTGGTTAGGAAACACAAATGCATGTCGTGCATTTCAATGTGAGAGAAGGACTCAAGGAGAAAAGAAAAAGAAAGATAATGAGGAGGGCAGAGATCATTGTCACTGAAAATTGCTGTCTGTCCTAGACTTTGAATATACACTCACATGCAAACGCAAATACATGCGGAAACACTCACATTATCTGTCCACTCCAATTCTGTCAGTCCCAGATTACACGGCATCTTTAAACCTAACAGAAATCTTAATTTGGATTTTAATATAATTATTTAGTATCATAGAGCCATTTTCAGACCACTGACTGCTGGGCTGGCGATAAAGTTGAAATAAAAATAAATGGAGAAAAAAAACTCCCCAAAAAAGTTAGAAATGGTAAAAATTCAAATCAATTAAGTTTAAGCTATAGCACTAAAATTAATACAACTGAAATAAAAAGCTAAATACACATAATTTACTAAAATATTTAATCAATTATTACAATTTAAACTGAATTTAAATTAAAACAGAAAATATAAAAATAAAAGTTAAATCAAAATATAAATACGATAATTGTATAAATAATTCTTAACACTGAGCTGATCTTAAAATCAATCTATTTTTCATACTGTATGTTAAATTAACTCACACCATTTTCTTTTTTATATTTATATATTTTTATTGAAGAAATAACTAATTTTAATATCGGACTACATCATTCAAGATGAGATCATTTGGACCCCACAATGTATGTAAAACCCAAACACACACAAGTCAGTGATATTTTCTATTTCCTAAACCTAATCTAGCAGAATCCTTCATTTAGATTTTCATTACATCATTATTTAGTATGCTCATAAAGCCATTATTTTCCTTATGAAGACCACTGGCTGCTGCCCAACTCCCCCACACACACACACACACTGAATACTAAGCAGGACCTTTCTGCAAATTCAATATGTCACATTTATAGGAAAAGGAAGGTTGTGACCCTCTAACAGCACTCTTTAATTTTTATTGCATTATGAAGGAGCTCTGTCTCCCGTCTCACTTGCCTCCAGTGCCACATTTAGCCAGCACACCTAAGCATGACGAATCCACACCTGGTGAAAACACTTGGTTAGGAGACACAAATGCATGTCGTGCATTTCAATGTGAGAGAAGGACTCAAGGAGAAAAGAAAAAGAAAGATAATGAGGAGGGCAGAGATCATTGTCACTGAAAATTGCTGTCTGTCCTAGACTTTGAATATACACTCACATACAAACGCAAACACATGCGGAAACACTCACACTATCTGTCCACTCCAATTCTGTCAGTCCCAGATTACACGGCATCTTTTCATCTTTCATTCAGCATTCATCACACTACTCATCTGTTGTCCTTATCACTCGTTAGCTGCTGTCAGTCTGCTGCTCTTTGCTCTATCTTCTTTAACCATTTCTGTCAAAAACTCTGTGGTACTCCACAGAAAAAAATGTTACAATTTGAGTGAACTACCCCTTTAATGTCTTCTTATAGCATGAAATGGAATCTTCATCACTGATAACATGTGATGTGCACTAGATCAGAACGGTGCTGTGGGCTTGTGTCATTTTTTTGTTTTTTCCAGGCCTTTTGATGCCGCTAGACCAGACAAGACCAGGCATTCCCAATTAAAGCCTCTGGTCTGCTGCCGTACTTATTCACAGTATTTTTTTTCGTGTTTTACTTATTAACTGTTCATGGAATGTGATCATCAATTACAGAGACTGTGAGAAAGAGAGAGTGGACATAACCTCGGAATTGAAACTGCTGAACAGCAAAAAGCATGGTTCCAATGTGGTCAAAGCAAAATCAAGATACCCGGATGAGATTTATCACTAAATTAAATTGATACACATGTTTGATAAATTAATAAACAATGAATGCAAGCACTTCTGCTTTATAGCAGCACAGTATGTGTCTGTCTGCTACAAGTTCACTCAAATTAAGCTGACTTTCACTGTCTCCAACTGTCATGTTCCCCATCTGGACTTTTATGTTTAGTTTATATTTTGCCCTGTTTTGTTCCTGTTTCCTTTTTCTAGATTTGTAGTTCTTTTGGTTCCCATCGTTTTCCCCTGATGAGTCACACCTGTGTCTATTTAGTCTTGTTATGCCCTGTGTATTTAAGCACTCGTGTCTGTGTTTATTGCCAGGTTTTGTCCTGCCTAGGCTGTTATGTTGGTGTGTTTACTTGTTTCAAAATTCATCCTTTGAA